GGTCGTGAAACACTTCAAGCGCGACTTTAAAAGGGCATAGAAAATCGAGGATTCAACCAAATTCAAAAATTTCTTCGCCTAAATGCTTCAAATAAAGTCTAGATTCATTCTAGCGAAAAAAAAAATTGGGGGTTAGGTGCACTTTAAATAAAGTGATTATTATTATTATTATTATCATTATCATTATCAGTCATTTTCATTATTATTATTACTATTATTACTATTATTATTATTATTATATTTGTACTGTTATTTGGATGGAATTCGCTGCAGTTGGATTATAAAGTTTGGGTATCAAGGAAGGGACCATTGTATGACGACTCCAGACTACTGCTTTGAAGAAGACTATCAGGCAAGATTATCAAGTTTGAGGGTGTTTCTCTCCACTCTCGAGCATAAATGGGTACCACCAAATTGTTGGAACTTCCTGACAAGAAATTATACCAGAGTTTAAGGGGTGGGTTGAAAAAAAAGGGCTTTAACATTTCACTTAACCATGCTTATTTTAATTCATGTGGTTCAAACTGACCTTCTTGCCAAACGAATATCAGGATCAGCATCAACAAACACCTTCATGTCCATCAACTAAAAAGTACAGAATTTCCAACGTAATGATCCTTAGAATCTGAGCTAACTTGAAAAATGAAATGATTAAAATCTTAACATTTTAGAATTTCTGCCTTACATTTCTCAGGTCCTTGTATGCAAATGCCATTATCCCTTCAAAGATGATCACATTGGCCCCATATAAATCATTCTGAGGAATCATACATATATAGACTTTATTAATGTGTCAGAGGTATTTAGCTAAAAATAGCTAATACTAAATCAAAGAATTAAAACTAGGTGAGTTTCTTATTTAACAGGGCTTGAACAAAACTTGAATTCTAGCTTGCCCTTTGGACAAGCAGATCTCAAATTTTGTTTGCGTAGTGAGGATGAAAGGTTACTTGCCCGGCTGGAAAATCAACTCGTCCTGGCCAACCAGACAGCAAATTTTTTTAACCCTATATTAACCTTGCCCAAAACACTCTATATTTTTTGGTACCTTGAAATGATCTTAAAAGTGCTTTAAAGCATGAGTTGTGTAATTAATCCAGTTTTATTAATCTATTAATAATATATTATGCTCACATACCTTCTGGTCTAGTCTGCTATGAGTCTTGAAGTCATAAATTGGCACCTAAAAAGATGAAATTACAAGAATGAAGGCACCTTTTTAAATAAAATCTGTGATTACAGAAATGGGAGGTACAATGTACTGTAGTTTGACGGTTAGTGCATAGGACTGTTATCTCAAATTCTTGAAGTTTGTGTTGACAACTCTCACACAAGCAGGGACATACTGGTAGTAAAGGGCCATCAGCTACACTGTGGCTAATTTCACTGGCTGAAATAGAGCTTATAACCGACTGACATTTCACCAGAATACAAAGACTGGGCACTGGGGTAACTTATGATAATTATAAATAGTAATAAATAGCATTTTTATAGCACCTATCCAAGCATGATCTAGGCCCTTTACAACTTATAATTTAGAATAATATTAAAAATAAAATAAAACAAGAATCAATAAAATTATTCCAAAAAGACTTCCTTAAATACATGCATTTTAACAATAAGCTGAGTTTTGAAAATTTGAATGTGCAAAGGCCAGGAAAGCCACATGTGCTTGTCAATAAGCCAGCCTTGTTTTGTTCTTAGCTATATCCCTGGACAAGACATTTCCACAGTGGCTCTGTGTCAAGTAAATCCATTTCTTAACCTGTATGTAGCAGTTGCATACCAATGTTAGATTATTACCCCTCTCCCTGTAAGGGATGATAGTCCATTACAATGTTCCCCACAGCATGGCTATTTTGTCAGCTGTTAAGTTTATATTTTCAAGATTGATTTCCAACTTCAGGCAAAAGTAAGGAGTCCAGGCCTCTCATATTGGAATTTCTTGTTTGCAAAAGTACACATCTCACTTTTATTACCTGCACACTCTTTCCTTCTTTCAATTTCTTCAAGACGCTTGCAGCCAAGTCAGCATCAAATGAATCTTACAGAATGATAAAAGCAAGACTTAAATTGAACCATGTCAGTGTTCAACTTTCAAATCCTCTATGTTATAAAAGCAAACTCAGATAATTAAAGCAAACAAGTGTTAGACAACTAGTAACAAGTGCAAAACCACAGTGCCTTCCAAGAAGACTACTGACAGTAGAGTTCCAGTTAAGGACTAGGATGCAAGCGCTGTGCCCTAGGGCTAGATGTATAACTCTCACTGTTCCTTTCTCCATATACAAACGTAATGAAATGAGTAAGTGTGACCAAAGAAAACTGATTTTATTTTCAGAAGTGACATCTGATGGACTAGGAAAAAGCTACTAACATTTATTTATGACCGTTACAGCCCTTTTCACGGTTGCCTTTTCTCATCTGTATTACAGTATAGTCCAACAGGTATGCAAGAGAATTTCAGGCAATTCTGTAGTTTCTGCCAAAAATAATTTGCACCACAGTCAGGTTCAATAGCGATTCAAAGGAGAAAAGTTGATCGTGAAAAGGGCTATTGAAGCAGCTTTGAATGCTAAATGCAACCTACTGGGAACAATCTTGAGAGTGATTTTTGCAGTATTTTGCTGTGCCGTACAAGGTTATCTTCAAATTGAGGGAAACCTCAGAAAGAGCAATCAAAGGTATAAGGACTGTTGTAGCTGGAAAAGATTCGACTTAATGCAAATCACAACAAAAGTTTTTCAAGATGCAACATCAATAACAAAGCCCCTTTAAACTGTTTGCTTGTTGTCCTTTATCGACTATACCTGGATGATCAAAGTTATACTCATTTCTGAGGGCTGCTTTATGCTGCTCAAGAGTTAACACCTATTGGAATCAAATAGGTAAAGCATGAGACCTTCCCTACAAATATATAATAGGACAGAAATTAAGGGTAACTCACAGTTAGAGGATACATGCTATTATTAGAATTCTACTAGTATACTAATGCAAATGCTACAATCTGATTGGCTGAGCTACTCGTATACTATCAGCCATTAGAATGCAGAAGCTGTCGGTCGTCCATGAAATGCAATGTTTTTATCGTTTTTCTGAAGTTTTGGATGAAAGTTTAGATTTAAATGGATAATTATATTCCTGAGAAGACAAAAAGAAGGACAAACAGGTTCTTGACGTTAAAAACTTGAAATTATTGAAAAACCGGTGCGCGTGCATAAACAACTGCAAATTTACCAAGGACAATTCAATGCGTGTGATTCTGTTAAAGCGTAAAGTTCAATAATGCGTTGAAAAATATTTGGAAACCATTATTTGCGTTAATTTAAGTTAGAATTCTACTCAAACAATAAGATTATTCACTCTCAATTTCTATGAGGCGATAGTTGATTCGGCCTTTGGCCTCATCAACTATCACCTCATAGAAATTTCAAGCTCATAATCTAATTATTGTTAATAAGTATGGTCTAAAGATCAGTTAGTACAGTGGAAACCCCACCTTATGACCACCCTGTTAATACGGCCACCTTGTTACTGCGGCCACTTTATTCTGGCTCGAAAAAAGGCTCAGTCAGTCATTTTCTTATTTAAAGAACCCCTTTAACACGACCCTTCCGATAATATGGCCGGATTTTTGAGGCCCGTTGGTGACCGGATTAACAGGGTTCCACTGTTAGTAGTCATTTGACTTTGTGAAACATTTGTACAGACATTTACTTTGTACTTTCGGAAATTCTGTCGAAGGATATTAGTTGAGTACATAATGATATGTCTAGTAATAGTCCTGGTGCTGTTCACCGTTGAAGCCAAGATAGCGCTCTACAGTAAAGGAGCAAGCTATAACTGTAAATGGGCTACTCAGTTTTTGAGCACATGTATTTTAATACAAACCTGTTTGGTAGACTAACACAAGGTTTGCCCACTCACCAGCTAATCTCCATGTAAACTGGAGCAAAAAAACCATTCAAGGTATGAACGCATGCATATTTAAACCAGCAAAACGCATTCATATTGTTCCCATAGTCTAACCGATGCTTCATTTGTATATATGGAGATTAACTGATGAGTAGGCCAACCTTGTGTTGGTCTGTAAAAGAGATTTGCAAGTTACATTACAATCCACATGCACTCAAAAACTGAGAAGTCCATCTACTGTTGTAATAATGTCATGTTTACATACATGTACATGATTGTAGGAGAGTGTGGCAGAGAGCTGAAATGGAGACTCTATGATCAGGCTAAAGCAAAAAGGATCAATTAAGGCCGTTTGTAACCACATGGCATTGATGTGTGGACTTTTTCAGTATATCAGATTGCTTGATGAGTAGACACCTCACCTTGTAAAATGAGTCCAGTGATAACATGCTGACCCAAGGAACACCAAGCTGTTCAATGATCTTGTTTGCAACGGTTGTTTTCCCCGATGCACTTCCTCCACATAAACCTGAGGTGCAACATGGAGATTTCCACATACATTTGTAACATTCAGCAGTCACTACAATAGTGTATCAAGTTCCTTTCAGTTACTTTAAGTGGGAGGCACATCTCTTTGTGG